AACGAAAATATATGTATATATACAATTTTCTCTCGCTTTATACAAACACAAAAGCACTTTATACACTTGCGTTTGTATAAAAAATGAGAGAGGCGAGGGAGAGAACGAGAGTGGCGAGCGAGATTCACCAGGAGAGAGGTGAAATAGCAACAGTTTGCTATGGAGTACAATTAAATCAAACTATATTTATAGCATTTAATTTGAATTAATAGTTTGCTATTATATACAATTTTCCCTATATTCAACTTGTTATGCTAGTTTCAGGAATTGAAGTGTATATTCTTAGCCGATGTTGTTGTTGGTGTAAAGTTTTGATGATAATCAACCTAACTATTTCAGGACAACTCAAAAAGGAAAAAATCAAATAAAAAGAAGATTCTCACAGCAAGATTGAAGATCATCAATCAAGGAGGCTGAAATCTGAAATGCACAAATCATGGAAGATTGCAAATCAAGGAAGATGACAAACCAGCTGCCAATAAATCAGAAAAGTATAAGATCTTGATTAGATCTCCAACGGCCATATTAAATCAAGGAAGTTGCAAGAATGAATCAATCAAGAAAGGAAGGGCTCCAAACGACTACATACAATTCAAGGAAGCTGCAAGAATGAATCAAACAAGAAAGGAAGGGATCTCCAATGGCTATATACAATCAAGAAAGCTACTGAAGTAGAGACATAAGGAAATGATCACAAACGGCTGTCTGCAAGCTATTAAGGCTAAATCAATGAATTAACTTTATTCTTGGAAAATAAGGATATCTTGCTTTTTTCCAAGGATCAAATCTCTTGGGTTGCCACCTCTTCATAGGACCATATTCAAGTCTCAACCCTATATAAAGACATCACACTGCAAGTGGAAAGATTGTACAACGAGTCTGAATCATCTCACCGTTCCCTACTCTACTTTTGATAAGCATTGTATTACTTAGTTCTACTGTGTAAACAAAAAAGAGAGAAGAGACAAAAATGATTGAAAAGGCGTTGTATCAAAATAGAAGAGTGAAAAAAAATAGAGTGTAAACTGTGAAGTCACACTCAACTTTGTACTCTCAACAAAAGTTACCAAGGCTAGAAGAGAACACCTTTGCAACCTAAGGGGACTGGACGTAAGATCCACATTGGATTCCAACCAGTATAAAAATTATTGTGTCAAGTTTACTTTACGCATTTTTGATTCCTTTCATACCTGTCTCAATCTGTAGTCGACTGAGGTTCCTCTCAAGTCAACTACTCCAAAGATGAAGAAAAAAATTAGTAATTCACCCCCTCTTGTGCTTTCAATTGGTATCAGAGCAAGGTCTCACAAAATCTGTCTAACAACAGGTGAGGAAAAGATCATGGCACAACAAATCATGGGCGCACTATTTCAAGAAGGTACCTCTCAAACAAGACCTCCATACTTCAACGGAAAACACTTCTCTCATTGGAAAGTAAGAATGGAAACATTCATAAAATCCTATGATGTGAAGGTTTGGAGAGTCATCAAAC